CACCTGTGACAATTTACGCGCCATTACGCGCCAGAAGAGACAAAGCAATGTTCACACGTTGGAAACTATGATCATCGGGAAGTTCGTGTGGCACCCAAACACCTTCTTTATGGAGTTTCCGTTATTCCTTAGATGTTTGCGTATTGTTTCATGAGAGACATGCAATTTCAGGGCCATTTCACGAGTGTATTGCCTTGGATTAAACTCAGCAAGCGTCCTCAGAGCATCAATATTAATTCCAACATGTCGGCCCCTGCCATCACAGTTTTTAAGGCTAAAGTCACCTGAACGACATTTGCTGAACCATCAAACGTTCAAAACACTTCCATAAATTTCTTTAATATTCTTTGTGGCTACAGAGGCGTTGTTTCCTTTCTTGTATTCGAACAGCATTATATGCCGAATGTGTGTCTCGTAGTGTGCCACCACTATAAGGGATTAGAGTATACTAAACTTTACACATTATATAGGCTACACTAACGTGACATTTAGGCGGTTCGTTTAACTATTATACGTGATATACGTTTTTTGGAGGGTGGTTAATGAAAGTGTTCCAAAACGCGACATTAATTTCTGGACGACCTAGTACATGTAATCTAGGAACTTCATATTTTAATCGTTTGATGGAGCCCTGCTTGATTGAGTAGTCATTAATCATGTTACTTATTACAACTATGAATACACCATAACTTCTTCATGTTGTCAAATGCTTTGTGTAAAAATACAAATATATTTGTGGTTTTATAAGTATCAAACTTTCAGTTAGGTTTTTCAGTTTCGAATTTACTATTGCCATTAACGAATTAGATTGTCTATAAATCTAAGATGGTTTGTTTGTTTTTTTTTAAATTTCGCGCAAAGCTACACGATGGTTATCTGCGCTAGCCGTCCCTAATTTAGCAGTGTAAAACTAAAGGGATGGCAGCTCGTCATCACCACCCACCGCCAACTCTTGGGCTACTCTTTTACCAACGAATAGTGGGATTGACCGTCACATTATAACGCCCCCACGGCTGAAAGGGCGACCATGTTTGGTGGGACAGGGATTCAAACCCGCGACCCTCAGATTGCGAGTCTAGCGCCTTATCCACCTGGCCATTCCGGGCCGTCTAAGATGGTAATCTTTCTGATATTCTACTTTAAAGCGAATAGTATTATTTTTACTGTCATGATATTCCAAAAGCTAAGCAACGTATTCGATATCTTAGGGTTAAAGTATCCTTTACATACTTTCGGCCATTCTTCCAAACATTTTTTTCTCGAAAGAAATGGATTAGTCAAAAATGGGAGCTACATCATTTATATTTGATCAACCAACACTGTTAAACAAAAATGGGATTCCCTGGTGGCAAAATTCGTGAGTTTTAAAAGCACGTGTTTATGAACTGGTGTACCTTTTTCATTAGATTAAATCAGAAATTCAGAAATTATCTAAATAATCTCTCCAAAAGTGATGTCTTTGTACGAAAAGAACATCAATACTAACACAGAGTGTAATAATGGTTGGAGACGGCTTGAATGGGTAATGAGGAGTGTATTTGTTATTTGTAAATTTTCCAAAAAATGTCTTATTAAGCATCTTTGCGTACCTTAAAAACTGCGGGATTGTTTCTTGGTGTTGTGTATTTAAATACACAGCGAGCTAATAAATTATCTTTTTTGTTATTTCGCTAAGTACTTCTGTAATTCATTCTCTCTAGTTTCTGATATAGTTTCACACCAATCTTAATAGCACCACTCAATAAAAAGCCAGCTTTTTCCATGTTTGTTTAATCCAATACAACAATATCATTCCCTCCTACCCGATATGATTATAGTATTGGTATATTCGATCTGAATGGTCCTTATGAGTACATCGGCTAAATGACCAGGGCAGAGACCCTAAAGTTCAGGAATAGCCTTCCCTAATTTTAAACTGTTGACGAAATGTAAGTCTGCCTGTCAGCAGCCACCAAAAGAGCGCTCTATCCAGCTTTGATCTGAATAACAGAATTGACTGTCACTCTTATAGCACAGTCACAAGTGAAAGTGCGGAGCGTGTTTTAGGGCGACGCAAACTTCAAACTTTCTAGTGTAATTTGATTAGGCTGTATCCACTTTTACGGATATTTTTAATACCTGTATCTTTTCTCTACTTGGCGATGCTCTAGATTATTCCACTCCACTGAATTCTAGTAATACTAAAAGATTCACCATGTTTTTGATTAGATAGGTTGTTCGATAACAACTGTAAAAACTACTGAAAAGTTAAAAATAATAACAATGTTCAAATCTAAGTTTCCTAGATATGCTAAACCTTAATACAAGAACTGAAAATATTATTTATAACATCACTCAGCTTATAACTTGAATAATTTAAAATTATATTTTCAGGGGTTCTGTACATAAATTTATTTGATGCTGTGCTAGTTAACTTACTTTAACGTGAGGACTTTTTACATTTAACTAAAATTTAAATTTTTGCACATTTATCAAATTTTTGTAAGTGAAAAAGTATATGTTATTAACGACATCTTCTGTTGACTGACGTGTGGAAAATCTAAATGACTTAATTAATTGTTTTATTTCAAAGTATAGTGACTGTCGTTTTATATTTTGATGGTGTTACTTAGCCTGATGAACATGAGATATATACACTTTAAAAGTTAGCCACTTTGATATAATAGTTAGATATTTAAAGAACTTACCATGCAATCAAAAATTCAAAGATCTAAGATTTATTTTTATTCTTCTGAACTTTACTAAAGAAACCTTACTGTAACGTTTTACACGATACTGGCAATAAACTCACTCTCTGGTCATCTAAGAACAAGAGTAAGTTTTAAAATTAGGAAGATAA